GAGCTTTTGATGGGACCAGAAGGGAGGCCACACAGGTCCTTGGGTCGGACTTCTTCACCTTCAAGACCTGGTGCTTCTGACCCTTTCATGTGGCTCCCAGGCCCAGGTGAATGCTGTCTCTAGGCATTCAGAAGCCCCAGTGAGAAGGACTAGACCTCCCTGGCCAACCTTCTGCTCTGCAGGGGCCACTCTGTCATGTATTTCTGTAGTAGGAGGTTTCAGTCCCTATCTGTGGCCCAGTGGGTCAGTTGTGCCATGTCAGGATAGCACACTGAAGGATTTTCATAGATTCACGGCTCCCAAAGGGTTCTTCCACATAAACACAGGACCCCTGAAGGAGATAAACAATTTTCTTGGCCTCCTCTGCCATGCACTGCCCTCTTGGTGTGAGAACACAGAGGCCTTAGTGCCAGCGCCTAGCAGGCTGGGGGACTGTGGCATGCACCTTGAAGGATATCGTGGGAAGATGCCCCGGCAGTGTGACCTGGATGGTACTTCGGCTTGTCTAAATCAGTGAGTGGGATGGGTTTCAGGAAGCCTCTGACAGAGCCCCAGTGACTAAGGGAACAGGCACGTGAGAACTGTAATTACCTAGTAAACACAAGCTGGTCCATTGATCTGCTTTAGGCCCATTACGGCCAGCTGGGTGAAGGATGGAGGTGATGGATTAGGGGTTTCCCCAGGCCAATGCAGGATCTCCCTGGCAGCTTTTCCAGAAAGATGCCGCCTGAAGGGTATCAAACCAGTTCAGCATCCTGCAGCATCAACTCCAGGACCTGCTGGAGGCATCACTGGTCAGCTGGTCCCAGGTAAGTCATGTGAATCACGACCCAAGTCATGTGTGGTGGGTTGGGGAGCCTGGCCAGGACTGGAGGCCCTGGACACGCAAGCAGTGCATACTAGGGGAGAATTCAGGCTGAAAGATTCTTTCTTCTTCTTCTTCTTTTTTTTAATGGTGGGAAAATGCACAACCCAAGGCATAGAGAAACAAAACCGTGGAAGGTTGTCCACTCAAATATTATCAATAGTTAATGCTGTGTGACTGTACAGCAGTTTCATTTTTCTCTCTTCATTTCTGAATCCACTAGACTTCTAAAAGGAAATATATGTCCTTTAAGATCAAATGAAATGGCTGAAAGGATTTTCCTTGAGCTCCAGGGGGAAAAAAAAATCCCACATCAGCATCCAGGGAGAAGGTTAGGCCTTGGAGTTGTATCTGTCTCGGCTACCAGATTTCGCTAGTCATGATCTTTTTGCCAAGACACCTAGAATCCTTGTCTGCACTCGGACCTCACATCTGTCTCACAGATACGCAGGTATGCAGTGATGACTGCCTGGGATAAAGGGGCGGCGATGGGGAAGGAGCAGGCACCAAGGGAGGACTCTGTTCAGGATGTTGGGTGTTGGGGCTCCAGGCTCCCCAACCGTGGGTCCCTCTTCCTTCTGCTGGGTTCCCTCTGCCACCTGCCTCTCCTGCAACCCACCTTCCGTTACTCTAATGGAAGTCGATAGTCCTCATCTAGTCTCATTACCACCCACGGAGAGAAGTGGGCTGCAATTCCGAGAGCTGTTGGGAGGCCACTGGCCAGCTCTTGGGTCATCCATTGTTCTGAATGTCACTGGGCCTGTAGCTGCAATTACAAGCTTATTCATCTCCCAGAGCACAACCCTGTCATCACAGTAGTGAGGGGGAGGTAGGGAGGAGGTAGGGAGGGACCAGGACCAGGTTCGTGTTCATGCCCTCCTCCCGGGCCAGGGGTGGCGGGAGAGGGAGAACCTTGCACACAGCTGCTGTTTCCTGCCTGGCCACAGCAATGCTGAGTCGGGACTCCTCTAGGTCTCGAAGCACCCACTTGAGGGTTTACTTCCCTGGCTGGCAGGCACAGGTTGTTTGCCTGAACAGTGTGGGAGTCAGTCTCATTGGTGTCCACTATAATCCTACCTCTTTATCTCCCTTCAGTACCCTCTGCCAGTCCACAAGTGCTCCTGTGCACCTGACTCCCTGATGCCTGTCCCTGGCCTCCCATTGACAGACAAGCTCACAGATTTACCCAACTTCAGGTTGTATCTCTCCAACAAGCAGCACTGGCAGGCTCCAGGCTCGAGGGTCGTCCCTAACACAGCTACCAGCTGCCTCTCTGGAGTTCTGGGGAGGCTCTCTTTTCTTCCTTATGACTGGGCTTCTCTGCTTCTTTGGGAGCCCTTGGGGATCCCTCCAGAACCCTGTGGCATTCTGTCTAGAGTGTTGGCCTCAGACTAACACAACTGGGCAGATAGGTAAACTGCTCTCGCATCTCATGGGACAAGAGCCCAGGGACTAAGAAACTGGTTGGTTTCTGTTTCGCCCCTGCAGTGTGGAGTAGGGTACAGGGCGGGATGGGGAGGAGAATGCTTTGCTACAAACTTGTGTTGACCTTGACCTCAGCTGGAAAGCAGAGGAAGAAGAGGAGGAGCTTCCAGAATCGACTAGAAGCTCTTATTTACTGGTTTTGGATCCTCTGTCACACAGTCTTCTGTAGAGACCAGCTGGTTTATCTGCACAAGTCCTCTGGAGATGACAGAGCAGGTAGGAAACCAGTCTGGCTATGGATTTCAGGGGTAGCCTAGAGACTCTGGCAGGCACCCCCTGTGTTAGACTCTCTGCCTGATCTTTGACCTTCACACAGCCTTCTTGGGAAGTTCAGTATGTTTTCTGTGAGGTGTGTTTCCTGGTCCTGGAAAGGGGATAAAGTCTATGCGGGGATCAGTGGCAGGGCCAGGAACATGCTGGGAGTCTAACGGGAGAAAACTTGTCATAGTTTGGAGTGTCCCCAGAAACCAGTAACAGACAGACAAGTTGACACATTAATTGTTGAGTAGCCCTCCCAAAGGATTCAAGAAGCTGTTATAGGATCAATAGATATAACAGACTATAGGAAACTACAAACCAGACAGAAGGGAGTATAACTGAAATCGGGAGAGAGTCCACTGACCCGGGATGACTGCCGGTTCATGCAGAAAGGGCAGGACCTGAGAGCGCTCCTGGGACATTCCTGAGAGCCTCCCACCTTCTTCCTCTGGGACTTCCAGTCTCTAAGTCTATTGTCTGAGCTTCCAGAAAAGACCCAGCAAAGTTTCTGTGAACTAAGAGATGGGTTTTCCTAGTATCTACTCCAAGCCTTGAAAACAACCTCTAACTTTTGCAGGGGTTCTGAACCCCTTCCTGCTGCTGCTGGACATGGTGCCCCAGAGGAGCCATGTAGCAGAATACGGAAGAACATGAAGGTAAAAGGGAGGCAGGGAAGAGTCTGCCACACCTGGGCCTCAGTGCCCCTGTTCATCCTCACAAGGAAGCCCTGTCCTTAGACAGTACCAGCAGTGTTCACGGAAAACGGAGATGGCTGCTGGGGTGGGAGGCACCCTCCTCCTCTGCCCACCCAACAGGGACAGTCCACAGGAAGGAGTCAGGGCCCTCTGTCTCATCCAGCAGAGCCATCCGTGTGCCCCCAGAACTCTACACTGTCTTCTCTTTGATGTTATCCTAATGTTCTACTGGACGGGGCAAAGGGTTCTCAAGGATCCAAGTGAGCCTTGTGGGTCTTATGCACCTGGACTTGGCTACAAATGTGGCAAAGACCATGCAAACCCGGGTACACTTGGCCCTTCCTTTTTGTCTCCCCTACTCCACCCTAGCTAGCTTCAGGGAACCCCTCCTCTTCCTAAGCCTTAGATTTAAGGACCCTGACCACGTAGCCCTCTGATGGCCCCACCTCCCCTTGCTTCTGCTTCAGAGTCTTGCCGTTTTCCCAATGGCTTCCTCTTGAGTAGCGACGCCTTTCCGTGTATGTGTGTGTGCATGTGTGCATTTGTGTGTGTGTGCGTGAGCGCGTGCACGTGTGCATGCGTGCCTTTTTATATTAATCCTCATTGTTTTCCAACGAAAGAAAGGGGACACAATCATAGAATCATCGAATCTCAAATGTGAAAATGCTAAGTATTGGGAGTTCAAGATCGCGAGTTCAAGCCCAGGTGTGGGTCTTTATTCTATGACTGTTTGTGACTCACCTGACCTCACTGTCCTCACACTCACAACAGGGAGGATCACCTGCCAGCTCTGCTTCACTGAGCGACTCAGAGATCAGTAACTCTGAGTTATATGTAAGTGCTCCTTTGTAGGTGGACCCACCCTTACTAAATGGATGAGGAGCCTGAGGGCCCAGGGGGCCAAAGATCTCAGGTAATTCCTACGTCTGGAGACTGGAGATGGGGTCAGAATACAAGTGTTGTGAAGGGAAGAGAAATCTGAGGAGAGAAATTGGCAGAGACCGAGAGAAGAGCAGAGGTGGAGGGAGGCTAGAGTGATGGGTGAGGAGGAGGGCCACTAAAAAAGCACAAGGTGGGAGGGAGCGAGAAAACAGAGGGGGGCGTGGTGTAAGCATGGGGATCACAAGGACCACGAAACCATGGAAGACATGAGGGACTGTGATTGGCCTAGACAGAATGAGGACAGGACAGGGCAGTGACACCAAGCCCTGCTGTGTCACCGCTGCCCTTGTTCTCTGGCTTGTCAGGCAGCTCAGTGAGGGCTGAGAAATCCTTAAAATTAAAGCCAGTCTCCTTGGCCCCTTTTTTTGGAAGGAGAAAGTCTGGAAGTAAAACCGAATCTGCTACAGGAAGGCCAGGCAGTGTGCACGGGTTGAGCATCCACTGAGCCCAGCCACCCTGTCGCAAGAAATACACATAACTGTAGAATCAAATTCATCTCTCTTCTTTGCCAAATCCATAATTTACACAAGATGCTCAGAACATGGCTGGGATTAGAGCAATGGGGTATGATGACCTTGAAAGGCGGGAATCACTCACGTAGGGCCAGAGGAAGGGGAGAGGGATGGAAGGATGGGGCGGCAGAGAAAAGCAAACAGACCACACAAGACTAGTGGGAGGCCAAAGCAGCTAGTGTTAAATGCTGGGCTCAGAGAGGAAGGAGATTGGCAGGGGAGGGAGGAAGGTCCAGTTCGCACCTTTGGGAAGCCAAGTCGGAGCAGGCAGGCTTTTGCTCGGTGTCGGCGGCAGGGCAGCAGAATTGGTGCAGCACGGTCTCATTCCTGCGGGCAGAGAGCGGAGGAGGTCAGAACGTAAGGCAGGCTGAGCCAACTCTGAGGACCTCTCAGCATTTTCCCCCAAACCCAGCTGCCCCCAGTGCCATGCCCAGGTGGTCACACACTACTCTGGAGGAGTGTGCCGAACACATTTCTGTCCATCCAGGCTTTCTTGATTGTTCGTGGGACAATTGAAATGCCGGCCCTGAGCACAGCCTCCCTGGTTTCCCGCTCTTGTGCTGCGGTGAAGTGTCCCTGCAGGAAGCTCCTACCCGCGATTCTCCGTTCATGGAGATGCCTTTTATCCTAGTTAGTTCTTTATGACCCCGTTCCTTAGAAGTTCGGTAAGGCAGAAAAAGGTCTAGACACCTGGGACTTGAGGACTCGGCCTCCATAACAAAGCCCATCATGCACAAAGCCTCCCAGCATTCAGGCAGCCATTCCGGTTGCCTGCGGTTCAGAGATGTAACTGAGATGTCTGATGGAGAAGAGGAAGTGGAAGTGTGGGTTCTAGCTGGAACTTTGGATGGTCAGCTGTATTCATGTTTCACCATTGTGGGCCTTCATCTGTCTATTTGCTCCATTGAGACAACTTTCACTTTACTGAGGGGGTTGAACTGGAGAAGCAGCTCTCAGCCCTAACTGCCTGTTAGAGTCACCAGATTTTAAAATATACCAGTGCCTAGATCCTGCACCCCACGGACTCTGAGTCACATGGTCTGGCAGAAGTTCGAACACAAAACTCATTCTAAACTCCAGGCTGCCAAGATCCCTTCCCTGCTACCACACTGTGATTCTGATATCTGATGTGCACCAAGCTTGAGCTAAGACTGCACTGACTGCAGGGTGAGTTACTCAGCCTGTTGTCAACGTTCCCTTCTTACATCAGAGAATGCCAGGCCTAGAAGGATCCTGGGTCACCTGAAGGAGGCTTTTGGACTTCCTTTATGCCCAGAGTACCTTGTCCAAACCAGAGCTTCCCTTAAAGCACATTTTGTAGAACAACAAACGGGGAACAGTTACGTCACTGGGGAGGTGAAATTCTGTCCCACTTCGCAGACCTCCGGGCCCAGTGTTGAAATCTGCCTCCCAGGCACCTCTTGAGAGTCTCTGAGTCAGCCAGGCAGTGGTGGCACGCTCCTTTAATTTCAGCACTTGGGAGGCAGAGGCAGGCGGATCTCTGTGAGTTCGAGGCCAGCCTGGTCTAGAAGAGCTAGTTCCAGGACAGGCTCTAAAGTTACAGAGAACTTATCTCGGAGGGGGGGGGGTGTCCCTGAATCCTGAGACCAGAGATCTATATAGCACACAAAGTTCAACTAATGCCATAAAATTAGTTGGGGCCTATGTTAGTAGATAGTTACAGAGATGGTATATGTTTAGGTAAGAAAAGAATGAGGAGGAAACAAAATTATATAACTTATAAGCTGGGAAATGTTTTTGAACAAAACAGAGAATAGGGATGTCATTAAGAAAAAGATATCCTGGCACTGTGGTATATAGGAGGTTGAGGCAGAAGGATCTGTTTGAAGTCAACCTGGGCTACATAACATGTTCCAAGCTGGCTGGTGTTATGTGGTGAGACCTATTGCTATAAAGCAATGCTACTATAAATCAAAGGCAATAGACTGGGGAGGTGTATTTTGCCATGCACAGCAGAAGGCATGAAAGTTTGAGTCTAATGTTCCCCATGGGCTCCTGTGTTTGAATGCTTGGTTTAACTGGTGATGCTCTTTGGGGGAGGGGGTGGTTGTTGAACCTTTAGGATAGGAGACATGGCTGATAGAGCTGTGTCCCTGGGAGCTCTCTCTGGTCCCGTCTCTTTTTCCCGAGCTTCAAGCATATGAGTAAAGCCACACTGCAAATTTACACTACCACAGACCAGTGGTTCCCACCACCATGGTATAAGCTACTCCAGCCACCACGTCTTCCCTGCCATGTTGGGCTGTGAACTTTAAAACTGTGAGCCAAGATAAGCCTCTTGCACCTCAAGTGCTTTTCTCAGCTATTCTGTCAACTGATATTCTTCTTACACTGAGCTTCAATATACCCTCATTGAAAAGACAACCCCAAGAGAAAAATGTGGAAATAATCATGGATAGAAGAGAAAATCTAAAGAGCCAATAGATATATAAAGAGATGTTACACATCACTTCTAGCCAGGAAAATGCAAATTAAGGTAGCACGGAGGTACCATAGCTCATCCATCAGATGAACAAACACTAAGAAGATGCCTAACTGCTCGTGTCATTGAGGCTGTGGAAGATGGGAGTGGGTGGCTCTCAGTTCTGCCTGAGTAGGTATAAATTCTTATAGCTGCTTTGGTGAATTAGAAAGGATAGACCTTCCTATCCAGAAATACAACTTCTGGGATGTTATACTTGCAAGGATGCATTTATTCCAAATGTTTAAGGGAGTACTGCTCTTGGGGAAGAAAGAACAGCTAAAAACAACAGCAGTCCCCAGGCAGCAAGGGATGGATAAGACGGTGAGACCTTCATCCATACTTAGTAATTACATGCCTGTCCAAAAGAATCAGCACTTATCTCTCGGTAGATGGAGGGCAACACTCACGGCTAAACGAGAAGATCCGGCACAAGGGAAAGTATAGAGCACAATCCCGACTCACTAAGGAGCAGCAACCTCCTCCCTGAACTCGTCAGTTTTTGTCAATTTTACACAGCCAGGGTCATCTGGGAAGAGGAAGCCTCAGTTGAGAAAATGCTTGCATTTGATTGGTCTGTAGGGAAGTCTGTGGGGGCATTTTCCTGATTAATCATGGATGAGGGAGGACCTAGGTTACTGTGGGCAGTGCCGCTCCTGGGCAGGAGGTCCTGGGTTGTGTAAAGGGGCACGTTGAGCAAGCTATAAGAAGCAAACTAGGGCACTGTGTTACCCGGCTCCTCTGTGGTCTCTGCATCAGGCCCTGCCTCCAGGTTCCTTTCTGAGCTCCTCTTCTGACTTCCCTCAGTGATGGACTGTGATGTGCAAGTATAAGCCAGACAAGCCCTTTCTTTCTCAAGTTGCTTTGCTCATGGTGTTTATCACAGCACTAGAATATAAACCAGGACGTCCCCAAATGTGAATTCAGATTCGCCATGTGTGCACTTCCTGGTTTAAGAGTGCAAATTAAGCTGCTAACTTTGATTACCGCAGTAGATGAAGCGGGGGGAACAGAGAGGTCAGAAGTAGAAGGGGAAAAACAATGCTTGGTGTAGCAGTAACCAAGAAAGTCAAATATAAATTTGTGCTTTTGTCATCCATTACTGTAAATTCATTAAAAGCAAATGCATACTTGGATGGGAATAGAGAGTATTAGAAACCAACACAAATACAGATGTCATTTCAGGAATCACATATAGTTTTTACATTGAATTTTCTAATTTAAAAGATTGTCAATTATTAGTTATAACTTATGATTAAAGATTAAGAATTCAACAAATATGACCTTGTAAAAGGTTGAGGATTGAGGGTATAGTCCAACAAGAGAATGAAGGCTTAGAATGTACCAGACCATGAATTCAGTACCTAATATGGACAAAAAAAATGAATAAAAGGTCAACAAAAAAAATAACGGGGGCTGGGATGGTGGCTCAGTAGTGAGGTGCTCCCTACCCAAACACGAGGACTTGTGTTCAGTTGCCTTCCCAGCATTCCTAATAGTTGTAACCCTCAGCTGGGCAGTGATGGCACACACCTTTAACCCCAGTACTTGCAAGACAGAAGCAGGTGGATGTCTTTGAGTTTGAGGCCAGCAGCTGGATGTATAGAGCGAGTTCCTGAACAGCTAGGACCATTGCATGGAGAAATCCTGTCTTGAAAAACCAAACCAAACCAAACCAAACCAAAACCAAACCAAAACCAAAAACTGTAACTCCAGCAGTGGGGGCACAAAAATAGGACTATCCCTGGTCTCTCTCTCTTTCTTTTCTTTTTCTTCTTCCTTTTTTTTTTTTTTGAGACAGGGTTTCTCTGTAGTTTTGGAGCCTGTCCTGGAACTAGTTCTTGTAGACCAGGCTGGCCTTGAACTCAAAGAGATCAGTCTGCCTCTGCCTTTCGAGTGCTGGGAATAAAGACATGTGCCACCACTGCCCGCCCAATCTCTGACTTCCACATGCACATGATGTACACACACATATGAACACATACCCACCTACACAGAGAGAGGGGTGGAGGAGGAAGAACAATAATGAGGAAAAATCTATGTCTGACTCTAACCACTCGTATTTGCGGATGAGAACTGAGACCCAGAATGGAGAGATGGTGTGTGGACCACTGTCTTAGGAGCAGTCTTCCAGCCTCCTCTACTCCCTCCTCCCCAAAATATAAAAGTAGCAAATGCTTTTCATTTGATCAGATATAACTCGCCAAAAGAAAATCTCCCCAAAATTAGGGTTGGGGAAGGTTTTTGTTGTTGTCTTTTCCGGAGAATAAAGGTTTCTAGCTAAGGAATCTGAAGACCACTGGATAAATGAGTCAGCTGAAGAAAAAGAACAAATCATTCAGAAAAAAAATGTTCCCCACAAAATAGTAAATTGTCCTATCAGTATATCACATTTCCAACAGGATAAAGTTTCATAAACCTTCTCAAATGTTTGACTCTGCGTTTCTCTACAGATGTATAATGCAAATAGTCTTTGTATAGTCCCAGTCCAATTAAAGATTAAATTGGCTTTGGAGTTGGAGTGTGGCTCTGTCCTTCTCTAAACCCAAGCATGCTTATTAAAGTGAAATCTAAAATCTCTCTCATGTCAGAAGAGCCACCTGATATGGGACAGAGAAAAAACCAAATATTTAAGAACTATTTTATTGCTACTAATCTCATAATCCCTTGATTTTTTTTAATCCCTTGATTTTATATTGACCCTTTAACAGTTTTTTAAGAAAATTTATAATATATATTTATATATGTATATATATAATAAACTTTTTTATTAATGGTCATATAGAGTACTAAATAATTCCAGAAAAAGGTTTCATCTACCTTGCTGTACATGATTTCGGGTTAG